AAAACTGAAACGAATAATTTAATATTTAATTTTCCCAAAAAATTTAATAAAAATTGAAAGTTAAATATAATTTATTTTATCTACCTTGAATGGTTTATTTGTTTTATTTTACAACTTTGTGTAAAATAAAAACATTATATGTTAAAAATGAAAAGATATTTATTATTTAAAAAATAGTTGTTATTTAAATAAAATACTAAATTAATAAATATTCCAAAAAATTAATAAAAATTGAAAATTATAACTATAAAATTGAAAGAGTGATAATTATTGTACAATGTTTGAATGTTCTAGAGTCCCAATATTATTTATTGTAATATTTTTCTCATATAACCTATTGAAGTATGCATTTCTCATGTGTTTATATCTTATTCATAGATAATTCAGCTTTTGATTTAGTATTACTAATGTATTTATGTGGTTTATATGTATTTCACTAGCGTATCCAAGCATTTTTATATCTTTCGTTCGTATTCATATTTGTATCCATATCCAATTTATCCGATACGATATCCGATACCGATACTTTAATCATTGAATATGATACCAATTTGTGAAAAATCAACAATTTTCTGAAAATGAAATCGACCATCCAGACAGTAAATTCATGAGCAATGCTATGATATGGTGCCAATTTGTGAGAAATCGGCAATGGTACCAAACATCATGGTTGGGTTTTGATTGATCAAAACTCATTATATACTATATCTTTTCTGCATCATAAATTTTCCCAGGGAAAAAAACGGTCTGGTGGGAAGCTGATCTGATGCAATTGATTTTCACCGTTGGATTTATTATGTCCTTCACTCGTTAAGATTAATGCTAAACACGTGGAAGGTGGCAACAGGTAAAGCGGAAATCTTGGGAAGTGCAGATGTCTTTGTGGGATGGGAAAAACTAAGGTACCAGCAGGTATAGAGAACTCCGTGTGTGATTCTTTTGATCCAGAGGTTGAGATTGCAGCATCCTGTAGTGCACACCTGATCCGTTGAGCTCATGGGGTGCAACTTAGTTAATCTCAGGAAAGAGATGAGGAGAGATACTTTGGTAGATGAGAGACATTTTTGCTTTTTGGTTGTAGTGAGGGAGGAAACTGCGAGACACGGAGGGTGAAAGCTTGGGAACAAATGGATTTTGAGGTTTGCATTTAGATTGTAGCATACCGACAAATTTTGCGCAGCATATCTGTAGGAAAAGAGTCGGGTGAAATGGACCCGGCATCCGGAAGACCCACAATGACGCGCTATGTTGCCGGGCCTACTTTCAGAATGGCAAGTTGGTGCAAAAAATCATTAGTTTGATCAGGCTGACCCTTTTTTTTGGATAAATTATAAATTATTACCCTGTACTTTGGAGTAGTAAAAATTACCCCTTTGAATTCTTATTTGTGACAAAGACCCTTAAACTTTCAAATCTAACAAAGACCCCTTCGCTAGCATTTCATAAGTTAATTTTGAAAAAGATTGTCGTTTAAACATTTCTTGCATGTTGTATTTGCTGCAATTCCAGGTTTTTATAGAACTTTCTTGTTTTTTTGGTTGTAATTTCCATTTTATAAAAGTTTTTCAAGTAAATTAACTTCTTCCATCACTCAATTTAATGGAGAGAAGATATTTATCGGAATCTAAAAGTTTAAGAGGATCTTTAGGGGTAATTGCTACTACCCTCACGTATAAGGTAGTAACATGTAATTTACCTTTTTTTAGCTTTTGGTTATACTATGAGTATATGTATAGAGATGCAAATGGATCATATCATGATCCATCTTATCTTATTTGGTCGAATTCGGATTACACCTATTGGGATCTTTGAATCAGGTTGAGAATATATATAATACAAGTAGATTCATTAGGGATATAGTTAGTTAATTTCCTAAACCTTAGGGATAATTTAAGAAATTTACCTTTTTATACATAAAAACTATAAGCCTAAAAGCCAGGGCTGGCCCATGTTCACCCCTAGTATATACATTGGTTAATAAAGTTTATAAATATCTTCAATCCATTCTATTCATGAAAGTAAAAGATTATTATAGAGAAATACATTTATAAATACTTTCAAACCTGACGAAACCACCTAGTCTGAGTCTCCTGACCTAACCTGAGTTTGAGTCCAGCTCGAATTGTGGTGGGTCAAGCTCGGATTGGCCCTGTGTTGGTAAACTTTAGTGTGCATCTTAGAATTGACCTTGGGTTGACCCTCAATTGGTCCTAACCCTCCGAAGTTACACCCCTAAAATGTATATTCAAGTAAAGTCTCGCCCAAACAAGTAATTGCTCTGCTTGGTTTAAAAACAGATTGGATTCAGCCAAATCCAAATCGGATTTGATTAAGTCCGGTCGGGTTTGGAGATCCCAGATCGAAATTGGATTTAACGGCACTCTGCTTCAGTTAAAAAAATAAATAAAAATTAGAAATTAATTCCTTTTTTAATCTATATATAATAATAAAATAAAAATATTAAATATTAAATTTATTATATAATTCGTATATAATATGTAAATTTATTTATGATTTATCAATATATATTAAGGTATAATCAGATCGAATGGAATTAAATATGCATCAATCTGATTATTAATTGGATTCAGAAATTTCAAACCTGAACCCGCGATTCAATTATGTTAATATATCATTGTTGGATTGGATTTCAGACTTTTGGAGTCGGTTGACAGCCTCAGTAGTTTCTAATGTATTGTATAAAGTTGTATTACCTTGGCTAATTGTTTCCAATTTGATTGAATTATGACTAAATCATGTCCGAGAATTCAGATGAATGGATCGGATTGAAATTCAAATCAGATTAAATCCGATCCATTTGCAACCTGAAGTCTAAAAATGTTTTCACCCATCTTGTGTTAAAACAAAAGCAATCTTAGTAAATTACATTTTTATTCTCAATATATATTACGTGGGCCCCTGACTATCTTTTTAGGCATTTGCTTTGTAACAAGAAAGTAAAATGCCAAAAGCGCACCTTTTCATTTGCTTCTTTTCTTTTCTTTACCACACTTTCTAACCAATCCATGTAAATAAAGTCCAAAGAAGAAACTCTTAGATTTAAAAAGCACTTCTGTACTGAGGATTCCTAAGAGTTAATGGTTCTTTTCTATAAGCATGGACTCTTGCCCATTGCCCATACTTCTTTTTCCCTTTTTTAATGGCCACCCAACAAACGGCCCATATCTAAGAAGATCTTGGAGCTAAAGGGAACATTAATCTGAGGGCATAAAGCATACCATATCAAGGGACTTCCACAATTCCATACCCAATTTGTTGATTATTTCAGATTTGAATGTTAGAATTTGTATCTGAGTTGAACGTAAATTTAAATTTATATGATCAAATTATATAAAATTTATATTTAATAAATTTAATATTTTATATTTATATAAAAAAAACATGTGATTGGTTGAATATGATGATAAATATATTTTGTTAGATGTAAAAATATATTTTGTAAAAAGTAAACCAATAAGGGGGCAATAAATTAATTTCACAGGTGGGAAAGCTAAATTTGTCAACATTTTCTTGGGATAAAAATGCCCTTTTTAATAATGGATTTTTATGGTCAAAATGATCATTATTTTATTTACATGTAAAATAATATATATATATATATATATATATATATATAAATGCAGTTATTGAGATAAGTGTTTCTGGAGAAATAGTTATCCAGGAGAGTGCATTTTTCAGATAAATAACTTACCCAAAAGAGAACTGGGCCTAAACAGTAAATTGAAATATGAATGTATTAATAAATGTGATTGTTTAAATTCTGTTTTTCTAAAACAATTAATTTTTTTTTTATCATTTAATTAAATCCGAATCCATCTGATATCGGATAAATAATAAATATTTAGATAATCGGGTCGGATGGGGATGCAGCTGGATTCGATCCGATAAGTAGAAAAAGTCCAACGCTTCAACGTCAATTCATCATCAAGAGCCTGAGGAGATGTAGGCCAGCTGTGCTAGGCGGATCGAAACACTCTCAGTTTTTGTTAGCTGGAAAAATGAGTTACCACGTTTGGCTTCATTTACGCTACGCGTGTCTTGGGCGTACTACCCAGAATCGCTGCTTGCTAACCTCCAAACATCCAAAGCTGTGGCTGGGTTCCTTTGTGAACCCAGTCCAAACTTCTGAGGCCGTTCCCTCTTTAGTCTTTTCATGTCGCACTCACACTCGCACATGGTGTTCGATAGAAGTCCTAAAAGAATATCACCCCGTCCCAGCTCTAAACTTCTAATCCTTTGGTAGGCCAGCCGACCAAGCCCCCAAAATGGACATTACTCGGAGAGCGAGTCATTTAATTACTGATTGGTTAGTGTAGCAAATCCAAGCACAAATTTGTCTGTTCAGTCCCCATCTCCAATGTTGTTGCCTAAATAATTTGGTCACCCAACTCCAACAGTTATTTATCTTTCAAAACAAAGAAAAAAAAAAACTCCAACAGTTATTTAATTAATTTAAATTACAACTCCAGCTCATTATTAGATCTGGTCATCTGGGAATCATGATATCATTTCATTCACAATGTCTGTGAAATGATATAACACTACTGTCTCAGCTCTACCTCTATCACATTGTTTCTTGTGCTTTCTGACCGCTCAGTAGTTGAGATTCGAGAGGAAAAGGTTGAAAGGGAAGAGGCACCAAGCCTCACAGTCTCACACTCCCCCAGCTCACAACCCCGCCCCCTCCCCTCTTTCTCTCTCTCTCTCTCTGTATTATATACTTTCCCCAGAAAGGAGGTCACACCCCAGTAACCCACAATCATGTCTCTTCACTTTGATATTATCACATAACGTGAGAATGTTGTTTTTTTCAGAGACTAGTCATATCTCGTAACAAAATCAACGCCACAATCTTCCCCCACTTCTCTAATCTCAATTTCACGTGAAGATACAAACACAATCTTTCTCTCTCAACAGACAGAGTCTTGTGGCCTTCAAATGCCCAAAATAAACAAAAGGGAAAAGTTGTAAAAGCACAATCTCCAATAATTTAATTATATTAATTAATAGTGATCCATTACAACAATTTAAAGAAAAATTGGCTCCCCAGACTCGCTGAGTCTGCCTCTGATTCCACTCCACCGAACTCGCCTTGCACTCATGGTAAGGCGCAACCATGCCGAGAAAAACCCAGGCGTGATCTCTCCCTGTCGAACTCAAACAAGAACCCTTGTTGCATTAAGTTCCCGATTATCGAGAAGCCCGACGGGGTGGTGACAGGTCGCATAGCCAGGCACTTGACGCCCTCCGCCGCGTCGATGAAGTAGTTCCTTGCCGGTGGGGAGAATACCGAGTCACCCTCGAGTCGAAAACTTAACTTGGGTAACGAAGGATTTGCTACCCCCGACACATTGACGCAGAAGTCCAGACTCGAAGATGGGTCGGTCGTTCTCGGTAATCTGATTCTCTTTTTAAACGCCGTTAGAACCTGACGGTAAGCTGGCTCCGCGATGAAGGTTAGTGTGGTGCCGGAGTCGATCACGGTGCCGCCGTTACCCTGGTTGTCTAAGGCCCAGATGGAGGGGTCGATCGGCAATCCGACGCCGTCGATGAATACGCTCTTGATCCCTATATAGTAGAACGAGGGAGATAAAGCGCTTGTGTGTAATGGAGTGAAGCTCATCATTTGCTTCCTTGTAATGGGCTGCGTCTCTCCGATCAAGAGATAGCTCGTCGGAGGCGGAGATATGGTATAATCCATGAGGCAGTAGGAGAACTTGTAGCCGAACCGCTTACCCACCTGGGAGGAGAAGGAGGTGGGCCCTCTCCCAAGTCCCATAACTCCATGGGCGCCATTAAAGCTCGCACCTGAAACACTCGGACCAGAGATGTGAAATCCACAACCAAAAGCGAGTTTTTTCAGTCGAGCAACTCGTCCAAAGCTCGTGTTCAACGTCACCGTCTCCCTAGAGAAAAACCCACTCGTTCTAGACTCATCGGCGTACAAGTACTCGTAGCGGCAAGTGCTGTGAAGGAGAGTATGGTTGCAGGGCTGGTGTTTAACAGGGTGAGGGACGAGTTGACACGCTGGGTCGTAACAGTGAATCGGAGCGAATGTTGTCGAATGGCGAGCCAGAAAGGCCAAGCCTGGAGCGTGTTTACTACAGTTCCGACAAGCAGAGCACTTGACCCAGACGAGATCGCTGCCTGTATCGGCCACAAGGAGGAGCTTCTGAGGTGGGGATCCGATCCTGAAATCAACAAAGTACTGCCCGAAGCCCGTCGACGCGCCGGAGACGACCGGAGACTTTAAGCTTTTACGGCTCTGCAAGGCTGAGTAGAGAACAGAGAGACGGTGAGAGTCTAAAGAGAGAGCTTGTGCTGGGGAAACAAATGGGTTTCTGTGAAGCAACCGTAGTTTCAAATATCCGGTTGAGGTTTTGTTGTTGAAGTCAGCTTGGCTGTTACAGAGATCTGTGAGAGAAAATAGAAGAAGAATGCAGAGAAAGAAAACGCGTGAGAGGGGAATCCATACCACCATTGTCTTGGAAAGATGAAAAAAGAGTAGAAAGGGAGCAAGAAAGGTACGGGAGGAGAGAAGAGATGAACACTACTTAATTACTTATACTTAGGTTGGTCTGGTCTTTTTTAAGTGCAGTTCGTACTATGTATATACGTATCTGTTATGTATTATATACGGAATATACGGTTATAATGTACGTACTGTCCGTGATATACGAGCATCAGTATGAAGCCATGACTCATGAGACTCATGACCCATGAACCAACCGATGGAGTGGGCCATGGTCCATGGATCAACATTAATACATTATCGCACTTCATTGGAGGAAAACCCCGGTCATTTCTGTCTTGACTCCTGACCCCCGACCCCTCAATCCTCGTTACTCATTTCCTCAACGGCTCAACCCCACCGGCCCGGTTGGGAGAGCTGAAGCTTTGTTTGAGTCGTGAGTGTTGGTTAAGCTGCTTTGAAGAAGCCAATAAAAGAAGCTTTAGTGGAAAGCTATGTTTTTGGCTTTAAAGACAGCCATTTTGGGCTCTCCAGGGTTTCACCAACCATGACTTTATGGGTGGGGCTCACCTCATAAAGCCAAATCAGCTGTCAATTAATCATTTGGAGGGCTGTTTGCTATAGCCTCTTTGAATAACTTATCTATGATGCTTCAAAGCAGCTGAATCAACTTAGCTGAATGGTCATGAGCTGCTTTGGAAAAGGCTCTGTTTTTTATGCAAATTCGCATTAGGTATAAATTTTGCACCCAGTTCAATATTGCGTCCATTTGTTTGTAATTGTAAACCATAATTTGCATTCTTGCCTGATGCGGAATTTATACTTTTTATTTCACTAGTAATGAAGCGCATGCATTGCATGTGAGATTTTTTTTTCATATTAATTACTTAACTTTTAGATATATCATAATTAAGATAAAAAACGAAAACTAACAAAAGTAAGAATATGATTAAAAATAAACTTAAATGCTTGTAGTAAATGTGTACGTGCATTGTATGTGGAAATTTTAAATTATAATAACAATTATTATTATTATTATTATTAATTTTTATTTCATTTTACCATAAATAAAAATAAATTTTAACAAATATTTTTATTTATTATGATGAATATATAACATTATAAATGTTCCCAAATGCGACAGAATTTTGTATTTTTTCATTGTTTGTGCTCTATCCTTTTTTAAATATTTATTATTCAATTATGACATCATGAGTTTTTTTTTTTGAAAAGTTGGATCGTTAACCCACCATCTAAATAAGAAAATAGCTTTACTTTCGGATTTTTTTAAATTATATATCATCTATATCATATAAATAATTTTTACTTATCATACTTAATTTTTGTTTGACATAATTAATGTATAATTTTTTATATATTCTTTTGATTACTTGTACTTTTTTTAATTTTTTAAAGATTTATTATTTTACTATCATATCATCGATTAACGCATTTGACCCAAACCAATAACCCACAACCCAAAAAGGAAAATAATTTGATTTATAGGTTGCATGATACTAATGTTATATTACATTTCCATCATTGATAATGCATGTATAATATTAGAGATGTACCCAATATTTATTTTTATGAATATATAACATTAGATATGTGCCCAAATTTTTTTCTATTTTTATTTTTGTTATTATTTATATTTTCTATTTTTAAAAATTTTATTATTTGACTATGACATCATTTCATTTGTAGGTTGATTTTAACTATGACATCATTTCATACGTATTTTTGTTTAGTATAATGAATACTCAATAATAGATATATCCAATTCTTTTTTTTTTATTTTTTGTATTATATATTTTATATATTTTGATTCTTTTATTATTTAATTATGACATTATTTATTAACCCATTTGACCCAAAATGGTTAAATTGCTTACCCACCATTGGGAGGGAAGAAAATTGTTTTGTTTTCAAAATATTTATTTTCATAATATTGAAATTAATTTTATGGATTTAATAAGAGAATATACCTTAATATGAGATTTAATGAGAAAAAATACAAAAATAGTTTTATTTCTAATTGGTTTTAAATTTTGTATTCCATTTCCATCATTAATAAAATCATTTCTTATTTATCATACTTATTATTGTTTAATATGTCGAATATATGATGTTAAAAATGTTTTCAATTTTTTAATTTATATATTTTTGAAATTTATTATTTAATTGTGATAACATGGATTGGCCCATTTGACCTGAACTGGTTTAATTTCTTACCACTACTTAGATGAAAACACTATTTTTTCAAGTAGATTTTAAAAGTATGTTTTTATGTTATTGGAATTATTAATTTATAATGCATGGATTTAATTAATAGAATTTAATGATGAAAATAAATAAAAATGCCTCAAATATATGATTCAATGAAGGTGAATGCAAATTAATACCTTAAGTGTTGGATTTAATGAGAAGAAATTAAATGCATTGAATATCTTATAATTATATCTTTTCAACTCATTTAATATTAATAATTGATTACCCTTTTGCCCTCATTTTTTTATCAATAAATTTAAATATAGAAGGATAAATTTTGTCCTAAAAAAATTTCAGAAATATTACTAAGGCTATTCGTACTTTTTAAAGTAGTATAGATTTCATCATTTGCGGTTAATGACAGTTCAAATTTTGTATCTAAAATGTTGGTGCAAAATTTGCACCAATTTCCTCCTACCTTAATTCTCTCTCATAAAATGGAGAGTATGGAGACTAAACTCATTTCTTCCTCCCAAACAAATAACCTTTCTCCCACTCTTTCATATGAACTAGGGACCACATCACTCTACATTTCTACTTCTTATTTTACAGTAAACAAAGAAAAGAATATCAAATCTGAAGCAAAAGTAAATCAGGGTTTACAATTCATCCATTTTAACTTCTTTTTTGCACTTTTATTCATTTACACAAGTGTGCAAATGAAATTGGCACTACAAATAAATGGAGAATAAAAGTTTAAAGTTTAAATGAGCTTCTAAAAAAGTCATTTTTTGAAATAGGCCTTTTAAAAAAGTGCTTTTATAGTATTTGGCTAGTCACCAACTTTTTCCCTACTTTTCCAAATCAATACTTTTCACCAATTTTTTCGACTTATTACTATTATTTTTTGCTTTCCAATGTGAAAATTAAAAAAAAACATTAGAAAAAACATTCCCATACAGAGAAAGGATTAAGGAACATCAGGGCTTTTCAGATTCCTTCATGCCCGCCGCGCAAAGCCAAAAGCGCCAGGGGAAAGCACTTCCGATTTCCGAAGGGGCACTCATTCAATAATGGCAGAATATACCTTTAGTTTGGGGCTACAGCCTACAGGGTCTGATTTCAGAGGCGTTAGCACCCTCCACACAGACACTACCTCTAACTCGAGAACGTTGGCAGCGTGAATCATCCACACTCAAGAGATCGTCTATGCCTAAGATATATATAGCATAATCAGATCATCTAAACCCTGTAATTGGAATATTTTCATTTAGTGGGTCCTCCTAAGAGAGGGATCCAAGAATTCAAAATAATTAGATGGCTTATTAAAGTTATCTGACAATGCCATATTATGGCTCAGCGCCTGAGACGATCAATTACATGGGTTCATGATGTTGTGGGTCCTGGCTAATTCCTACGTGATAGTGTCAAAACTCAATCAAAACATTTTTTGTGGTTGTCTTGGTCTCCTTGGTTTGATCCGCCAATTAGCTATGTTGGCCTAATCTTGGTTTGACCACGTACGGTTGGATCAGTTGAAGTTATTAAATAATTATAAATATGATTTTATTTGGGAAAATTAATATGAATTAAGAAATAAAAAAATAAGCATAACATAAAAAAAAAACGTCTAGAAAATCTAAAAAGACTTGAATTTGATCTCTATGTCCTTGAAACTGAATTTTTATCAGAAATGAAAATTTATGAAGACCGGTTTAACCAACAAAGTGGTTGAACCGTCAACCACTTGATAGAATGTTAATACAACCGTCAACCACCTGAAAAACATAAAAAATGCTAATACAACCTGATGGAATGTTTTGATCCAACCTGGTCTGGCCTTAGTTGGGTTCATGCCCAATGTGCACGCACAAGTGGTTCCAGTTCTTCCCTTTACCAATTTAGGTACTTCAAAATTTATCAGATTTTTATTGATGTGTTCCGATGTTCAAAATTTCATACCTGATTCCACATCTGTTCTTATTTTAGTTGGATGGTCCATCTATAAAAATGGATCAGATTTGGATTCTAAAATCTGTAGCCATTTAGTAGTCAGATGGAATGTGGATATAATCTCTGTTTGATTAAATGTGAATGGAATGTGGGTTTGTATTTGACCTTTAGCCTTTTCCTATTATTGTTTGAAGGAAAAATCTATGATGCCGAAAAAACATAATACCAATCACAATCCGCTCATGAAAATCCACCTAATTGGTTACTACCTTTATGATGCCAAAATTGATTGGTTGTAAGTATTTTCATGTCTTCCGGGCATCATAGTCAAACCCTTGTTTTAATCACAAAGAGCTCACGTAATTAATGCCCACAGCTCATTGAATCCTACACTTTATCAGGCTCGTGTACTTCAGCTCTTCAATTCTTATTCATGGCAGTTATCTTGAAAATTCATTTATGCATAGAGGGGGTTAAAATCTTCTGCAAGCAACCCCAACCTTACAAGCCCGTGTTTGGTTTGAAGGGAAAAAGTAGGGAACGCGTTATATAGGTTTCCTTTCCTTTTCCTACATTTTCCTTCACCCAAACACGTACAACCTATCATCTCCTCTAAATAAATCTCATCTTTTCATTGAATCCTTTAGATAAAAATCAACTCTTTTCCCATTAGCGAGTTGAGGGGTATTGATTGATAAGACTAAAGACAGGCTGAATAATGTAAAGCTGGAATATATAATTAATGGAGATATGCTTTAGAATAAGAAGGTATTGAAAAGATGTTGCCCAGATGGTTGAAGTAGAAACGTGCATCAGGTGTGTTATGCGATCGATTGACATGCATGGATGAGTCAAAAAAGAAAAGTTTATAAAACAGTCACCATTATTGTATAGCATGACCATGATGAGGGAAAGTTGACCGAACTGA